CCGCGGATCCGCGCACGTCCTGGCAATCCTAGATCGTGCCAGGACACCATTCCAGGGACTTCAGCCCTACTAATCCTTGTAACTGCTGCGAACTTTATATGACGAAGTTGCGCAGCGCTCAGGCGAGAACCACGTTTGTGAACACGAATGTGCTCGGCTCTCAGGCGAGAGCTAAATTTTGACACCGACTCTTTCTATCCTGGGAACATTTGCAGTTGGTTTCAGACGAATGTGGGCGGCGCTGAGCCGACAGCTCAATTCTAGACGCTTCGTTGAACCCCATCAGCCCATGCAGGAACGATGCCCAGGCGAGTTGCCCTGGTAAGGGGTAAGGAGGAGCATGCAATGCACCAAGAATGGGGAAGGTTGATGAGGAATCGGAGGAGGAGAAGGTGGAGAGGGATGGAGGGAGGGAGGCGGGAGGAGGGAAAAGGAGGAGAAGGAAGAGGATGAGGAGGAGGATTCGACTGAGGAGGAGGAATAGGCGGATGCTGATGATACTGGTGATGATGCTGATGATGATGTTGATGATGATGATGCTGATGATTCTAGTGATGGTTATGATTGTGCTGATGAGTGTGATGGTGATGATGACGATGGTGATTCTGACGATGGTGACGATGCTGATGGTGATGATGCTGTTGTTGATGATGATAATGGCGATGCTTATGTCTGTGCTTTTGAGTGTGATCGCCATGCTGCTGACGACGATGGTGATGCTGATGCTGTTAATGATGTTGATGACGTGAATGATGATTGAGATCAGATTGACGCTGGCCATACTGATGATGATGGTGATGCTGATGTTGATGCTGATGATGCTGATGATGGCGATGTTGCTTCTGATGCTGATGACGATGATGATGATGCTTTTGAAGATAATGATGATCATGCTGATGCTGATAGCTATGCTGATGATGATGGATGATGATGACGACGATGATGATGATGCTGATGACGATGCTGATGATGATGCCGATGCTGATGCTGCTTATGATGAGGATGCTGACGATGCTGGTAGTACTGGTGGTGCTGCTGCTGATGCTGATGCGGATGACGCTTCTGATGGCGATCATGATGGTGGTGATGATGCTGATGCTCATGATTGCGATGATGATGATGCTGGTGTTGATAATGATGCTGCTGATGCTGATGCTGACGATTTTGATGATGCTGACGACGATAGTGATGCTGAAGATGATGCTGCTGCTGACGATGATCATGGTGATGGTGATGACGATGGTGATGATGCTGATGATGACGACGACGATACTGGTGCTGATGATGATGATGATGCTGCTGATGATGATGATGATGATGCTGATGATGACTATGCTGCTGCTTATGATGATGATACTGATGTTAATGCTGATGATGACGATGATGAGGTTGATAATGGTGATGCTGCTTCGTATTACGATGCTGATGATGGCGACGACAGTGACGATGATGCTGTCGGTGATGATGGTGCTGCTGATGATGATGGTGAGGATGATGATGATGACTCTGATTAAGATGATGATGCCGATGATGATGCTGATGATGGTGATGATAATGATGAGCATGGTGCTGATGATACTCATAATATTGATGATGATGGTGGTGATGTCTTTGTTTATGCTAATGCTGCTGATGTAGAGGATGCTGCTGATGAGGATGACGATGCTGGTTGCTCATCATGTTGATGCGGTTGATGAGGTCAATGATAATGGAGATGCTGAGCATGGGACTGATGACAATGCTGAAATTGATGATGAGGGTGGTGATGCCGTTGGTGATGATGCTGATGGTGCTGCTGATGATGTTGCTGCTGCTGATGATGGACATGCTGGGCGCTCAATCTGTTGATGAGGTTACTGAGGTTGATGATGCTGATGATGATGGTGAGGGCGATGATGATGATGATGATGATGATGATAATGATGATGATGATGATGATGATGATGATGATGATGATGATTCCGCTGCTGATGATGCTGGTGCTTATTATTAGTATGATGCTGACGATGTCGACGACGCTGACGATGAGGCTCATGCTGATGATGCTGGTGCTGCAGATGATGATGACGACGATGATTCTGATTATATATGATTATAATGGTAATAGTGGCGAGGATGATGCTGATGATGATGTTGATGCTGATGATGGTGCTGATTATGACAGTTATAGTGCTAATGATGGTGCTGATCATCATGTGACTAATGATCATGGCTTGATGGATGATGATGGTGGTGATGCTGGTGTTGGTGGTGCTGATGAGGCTGCTGATGATGATGACGATGCTGGTGCTCATCATGTTGTCGAGGTTGGTGATGGTGATGCTGATGGTGATGCTGCTGCTGATGATGGTGACGATGCTGATTTTGATGATGCTGCTGCCGATGCTGATGTTGATGCTGATGATGACGGGTCGAGAATTCAACCCATTAGTTCGCTCCAAACCTGGAATCGAAGCCCGGCTCAGAGCGGATTCGCGAAAGCTGGAATTCCTATTGAAACCCAGGATTCTTTTGCCAAGCCTAGAAATCTGGTTCGGAGCGAAACCCGGAATTTCTGCAGGCGCGGAACAATGAAATTCTCTGGAATGGAAGTTGGGATGAGAGAGAGAGAGAGAGAGAGAGAGAGAGAGAGAGAGAGAGAGAGAGAGAGAGAGAGAGAGAGAGAGAGAGAGAGAGAGAGAGAGAGAGAGAGAGAGAGAGAGAGAGAGAGAGAGAGAGAGAGAGAGAGAGAGAGAGAGAGAGAGAGAGAGAGAGAGAGAGAGAGAGAGAGAGAGAGAGAGAGAGAGAGAGAGAGAGAGAGAGAGAGAGAGAGAGAGAGAGAGAGAGAGAGAGAGAGAGAGAGAGAGAGAGAGAGAGAGAGAGAGAGAGAAAGAGAGAGAGAGAGAGAGAGATTGGTAATGGACCCAAAGCGCGATGGTGTGAACAAATTGGGGCGGCTTGCGTCGTCGTCGTCGTCGTCGTCGTCGTCGTCGATGGTCGTTTGTTTTCCGTGGGCCGCGACCCGTCGGTTGTTGACGTTGTGATTGTTGTTGTGGTTGTCCGTTGTTCGCATTGTCTTATTCGTCGTCGACGTCGCTACCGCCGTCGTCGCGTCATCAGCAGTATGCGCGGACGGGCGCGTCTGCCCTAAAATTGAAATATCGGAATGGTTTTGGTTGGCAGCCCGAGGCACGGCGATGGCAAAATTAGGTCGGATTGCGTCGGGGTTGTCGTCGATGTTCGTTTGCCTTCTTTTGGTCGCCAGTCGTCGGTTGTTCTTTGTGTCTGCGTTGTCGTCGTTGTTGTTGTTGTTGTTGTTTGTTGTTGTTGTAGTAGTTTCCGTCCTTGTCGTCGTCGTCGCTGTCGTTGTCAGCGCTCTACTCGCGGACGGGTGCGTTCACCTTGGATGTGAAATCATGGATTCGCTTTGGTAATGAACTCGAGGCGCGAGGGTTGGAACCAATCGGGGCGGCTTGCGTCGTTGTCGTCGTCGTCGTCGGGGATGCTGCTTGTTATTCGGGGGTCGCGAGCCGTCGGTTGCCGTCGGTGCCTTCGTTGTTGTCGTTGTCGGTTGTTCGCGTTGTCTTCGTCGTCGTCGACGTCGCCGTCGCCGTCGTCGCGTCATCAGCTGTTTTTGCGGACGGGCGCGTCTGCCTTAAAAATTGGAATCTCAGCGCGGCCTCAGTTTTCAACCCGAGGCATTGGGATGGCCAAGTTGGGGCGGCTTTTCTTGTTGTTGGTGCGCATGGTCGTTCGGTGCTCGTCGGTCGCAAGTCGTCGGTTGTTGTTGTCGCCGTCGCTGTCGTTGTCGTGGTCGTCCTCGTCGTCCTCGCCGCCGTAGTCGTCGTCCTTCGCTGACGCGGTCGTCGCCGCGGGCGTCCGCGCCCGCGCGGGGGGACGGGCTCGTTTGTGCTTTACAGAAGGAAGTCTCGGGGTGGGTCTGTTTTGCGTCCGGTGGCATGGTGAGGTTCAAATAATTCGGGGGTGGGCAGAACCCCCAACAGTGACACGTCGATTAGTGAATTGTCCGTTTTCGGTTCTCGAGAGGGCGCCGTGGCCGCTATTTTCCAGGCCTGCGCCCGCCAGGTTTGGGCCTCAGGTCGTTTTCACTAAACCACGTTCTACTAAAGGGGGGTCTGTCCATCCCCGAATAATGATGGGGCTTGCGTCGTCGTCGTGCCTCGTCGAATGTCGTTCGTATGTTGGTTGGCTCTGGTTGTTGGGCGTCGTGGTCGGCGGGGGCGTGCCCGTACGGTCCTGGGCTTGTCGCCACTCGGATGAGGGAGGGGGCTTATATATATATATATATATATATAAAGAAAAGTGATGAACCCCTCCCCGAAGGGGAAGAAGGAATCTATAATAGAAAACGCCCTAAACCACACGCGCCCTATGAGGCTTGTGGGATCTTGAAAGCGGCCCGCAATCCCTGAAACTCTTGCCAGCTTCAAGGTTCAGGACGGTAGTGGTGAGGAAGTCAGGCGAAACGCCCGGCCCGGCCTACAGACATGTTTGGGGCAAGTTATTTACAAGGAAAGGGAGGGCGGAGGAGGGCGATCAGGAGCGGGAGCGGGAGCAGGAGGAGTAGGAGGGGATGTTCGAATATTGGACTCGAGGGGGTCGGGCGGGCAGGGAAGGGCCAAGGCCAGGCCGTGGCTGCGCGGGGCGGGATGGTGGGGGTGGCAAGGGGGCATCTCCCTGTATCCCTTCTCCTTTTTCTTTTTGCTCCTGTTCCTGGGCGGGACGGGCTGTGCGGGAGGGAGCCTCTCTGGCTGGCGCGCGTCGCGAGGCGACGCGTACCTGCGCGCCGACTTCCCCGGGCTCACGTGCCCCTCTGTGGTCGCGTTTCGGCGTTTCGGGCGAAGAGAACTATGCACATGTACCGATCCTGACAACGCCCATCCTTGACCCAGGGTCGGTGCATATACCTTCCTGGCCAAGGTAAGAGGGCGTATGCACCGATCCTGGGCTCAGGATGGTCCTGGCCAGAATCGGTGTATGTGCATAGTTCTCTTTCCTCTAGCGTTTCTCGTCCTGCGGCCGCCTCTGCTCCCACTCCCATGCCTCCACTTCCTCCCCCCTGCTGCTTCGACTCGCCTCGACTGTCCACGACCCGATCTCGTTCGGTCTCGTGCTTTTTCTCGATTCCTCCCTCCCGTTTTCGTTTCCTTCCGCTCCTGCTCTTGCCTCGGTTCGACTCCCACATCTTCTCATGCCATTGGAAAGGGCCATCTACGATCCGATCTGATCGATCAGCTTCTCTTTATGACGTCGGCCGCCCGTGCTTGATCGATCTCCTCACCTTCTGCTGCAGAGCCCCTCGAGCAGAGAGAGGCTCATGTCTTCGCGCCGCTTGGAGTCGATCTCGTTCTCGAACGGATGACTCGGAAGTCTCCATGGGTACGTGTGGCTTCCACCACGTCGGCGGTCTCGTCACCACCAGTGTTTGAGCCGCCTATCGCGGTGGCGGTTGACTTGTCGTGCCTCGCTTTGTCGTCACTCGTTCCCCACCTCTTTTGTTGCCTTGTCACAGCTCGTCCCGCGTGCCGTCCCGTCACCTGCCTGTCCAGCCTCGACTCGCCCCTTGTCGCATCTTGCTGTCCTGCATCTGGTCGTCGTAGCTCGGATTCCCGGTTGCTCCGTCCCGTGCCGCCCGCAGTCGGGCGTCTTGCCGGCTTGTCTTGCCTCGCCCTCCTCTCGTCGTCTGCCCTCATCGCTTCGTCTCGGCTGGCATCCTCGTATCATCGATCGCCAGCGATCCAGTCTCGTCTTGTCATCTCGTCACGTCTCCAGCCTGGCCGCCTCGCGTCTCGTTTCGTCTCGTCGCGTCGTCGCATCTCGTCCCATCTCGTTTCGAAGCGCCGCGACGTCTCTCGTCCGATCTTGTCAGTCGCATCTCGTCCCATCTCGTTTCGAAGCGCCGCGACGTCTCTCGTCCGATCTTGTCAGGCCCCGTTTCGTGTTATACCGTCTCCTCTTCTGTTGCCCCCCCCGACTCCAGAGAGCATGATGCCAGCGCGTGTGCGGAGACCCCGCGTGTGAGGAGCTCAATGCGTGGAGCTCCATTCTGTTTTCGTGGGTCGCACTACCTGTGCGATGCCTTCGGGAAGCCGTGCGGAGCTCGGCGGCCAGCGGCAATCGCGACAGGGTCTTCCTGGGGGTGGGTGGGAGCGCAGGGAGCCAATCGGCCACCAGAGCACATGTGGCAGGCGAGGCCCCACGTGGGGGCCGGGATGCCATGCAGGAGGCCGCGCCGCACGGCCGCCGCAAGAAGTGCGGCGGGCAGGGTGGGCGGCAAGGGGGGCACCCCGTGGGGAGCCACAGGAAGCCACGCGATGCCTCCCGGGAAGGCGTCACGGACAGAGACGCCGGGGCGAAGCCGTGGGCCTGGCGGCCTCGGTTGGCGCCGTAGGCCCACACGTAGGCAGCAGGGAGGAGGCAGGGCACGGGGAGGCAGGACCAGAGGGAAGGCTGGCAGCACCAGCGCGGCGGCAGCCCAGCAGTGCCTCTCGCTGCCCGGGTGCCTCCAGGAGTGGCCAGCTGGCTCCCTTGCAGAGAGAAACGCGCTGTTGATGAAGAGAGCTTGACCCACGCCCACGCCCACAACTGCCTGCGGTGGCGGACGGCCGTAGGTCGCCGATGACGTGCCCGTCGCAGAGCCTACAGCGCGGCCGTCTCGCGAAGCCGGCCAACTCCGATTCACGGTTGATCGACGACGCGCCCAGAATGTTCCCATGATGGCACAGCTGTGTCGTGGGTCTCACCTCGCACAGCCGCTGCCGAAGCGTTGGCCCCTTCCTGGTCGTCTCAGTGCTCTTGCGTTTCCTTTAGCCGCCTGCTCGGGTGTTGCAGGCAGCGTGTCCCGGCGCACCTCGTGCCGCTGCTGGTGCGACCCCCTTTCTTCCCGCAGGCCGATCTGGGAGGGGCCGCGGAGCTCCTCTTGCCGAAGAGCAGCGAGACTCGGACGTGGGGGACGAGGAGAAGGGGTGGCGAGCAGGACGAGGAAGGACGAGGAAGGGTGGCGAGGAGGACGAGGAAGGGTGGCAAGGAGGACGAGAGAGGGTGGCGAGGAGGACGAGGAAGGAGGACGAGAAAGGGTGGCGAGGGGGACGAGGAGGAGGGGTGGCCAGGAGGACGAGGAGGGCGGCGCCGCCGGCAGGTACATCCGCACGGCAGCCCCGCTGGACTGGCCCCCTGCCGCCGAGGGTGAGCACGGCCCGTCCCAGGCTCGGAGCCGCGGCGCGGAGGGAGAGCCCACGGCGCGCACCAGGCCCTGCGGGGGCCCGTCGCAAGAGCTCTTGGCTGGTTCGGGAGCAGCCTCAAGTCGGGCCCGTCCCTGTACGGGGGGAAGATTCAACAAAAAGTAAAACAATACGTAGTCCGGGGACTATCTTGTGAGAGTATCTTTGGGCATCTTTTGAGCATTTTTTGCGTATTTCTTAGTTTTCGTCGAAAATCCCCCTGTAGGGGGACAGGCCCGACCTCAGATCAGCCCCAGGACTTTACGCCAGCTGCGCCGCGCCGGAGCTGTCCAGCCAGGGCCCGCCCCCGATTCCCCTCACCACCCCGCCTCTCCCCGTCCTTCTCTCCGTGTACCCCTCCCTCCCTAGGCAAACCCTGGGCCTGGGACCCCGGGGTTCCACCCCCCCTTGTTTCTCGGTGCCCTGACTGTGAACCTGGTCGATGATGAGGTAGTCCCAGCGAGACTTGGACGCCCGTGGGTGAAACGCTCGTGGCTCGGGACTATGGCCGATGACGTGGGGGCAGTCTCGGCCCCCGCCACCTCCCCCATCCCCAAGAAGAAGCTCCAGAGGAAGGCTGCGCCTCGGCCACGTTAGCTCAGGGATCCCCCTGCTCCACTCCGCACCCTGATGGTGAGGGTGGGCAAGTGGGCGGGGGTGGGGAGATTCGGCATCTGTGACTTTCAGGCACATGCCCCGAGGATGAACGCTGCGGACTGTGAGACGACTACCAGCTTCGTCACTGATACTCTGAGAGCACTGTGCCGTGGAGTGTGTACATCTAGTCGGCTTCGCACCGCCGCGCTGGGATGTGCGTTTCGATGCTCTGGACTGACGCGGACGATGACTTACTGCACTTTTGCAGATGCCCTGTGCTGAACGATGTGCTCCAGAGCTTGTCCCCTCGATCTGGACTGCTACCGTCCCGGATAGAAACTTCATGGCGAGGATTGGCTCCCGAGTCTCTCTTGTTTGGGGCCTCAATAGGGTCGGTCCAGGGACATTGGGGCGCGCGCTAATCTTAAGTCGGGCCTGTCCCTCCACAGGGGGAATATCCAAAAATATTCCAAAAATAGTCTGGGGACGATTTTTTGACAATTTTTGGGTATGTTAAAATCTGTTTTGACTATTTTTTAGATTTTGTCCAAAACCCCCCTGTAGGGGGACATGCCAGACTTAACGCTAATCAGCTGTTTCTCGTCTGCTCATAACGCGAGGCGCACTGGGTCCAACTGCCCCGGGGAGGATCTCGTCGCCGCTCTCTTGAGACAGCTGGCTCGCCGCCGCGCTGAGCTTCGGGAGGCGCCGGTGGCCTTGAAGCCCCGACGGGCCCCTCCCTGTTGCCCATCCTGCCCCGCCTCTCTAGCTGCGTGTTCATGGCCCCCCCACACTTTCTTGCGGCCCCCATCTTCCATTCGCTTCCATGCTTCATGCTGTCAGAGTTGGATTCGCCCCCCCGCCTTCCCGATTGAGCTGGCTGGGCCGTTTTCCCGAGTGTTTCGCTGATTAGTGGCAGGCTTGTTGGCATCATGCTGGCCCCCTCGGGCGTGGTGTGCCTTGCCTGTTTCTCGTTGTGTTTCTCCCTGTGCCTGTTGCGGTTCCCTTTCGCTCCTTCCTGTCTGTTTGTCCTGTCCTTTCTCTCCTTTGCCGCTTCCTCCTGCTATCGGTTCCCTTGGTCCTGCTGCTGCCCTCCCCTGCTCCTCCCTCTCGTTGTCCTCTTCTGCCTCACCCCCTGTTCTCTGCTGCCTGCCCCTTGCCTTCTCCTTTCTTGTGGCGCGCCTGCGTTCAGCAGTCCTTTGGCCCCAGGTGAGACTTGCGATCCAGGGCCCATTGCCTCATGAGGATGCCGCCCCTGTTCGATGTTCTTGCGGGCTCTGCGTTCCGGGGTTCTGAGCGGGGCGATCGTTGGCTTCCCAGGGCCCTCTGCGTGTCGGGCCACTGCTTCAGGCCGCTCGCACCGGTGTGCAGGGCGAGCTGGGACGGCTACATCGCCAGACGGCTGAGGTCCGTGACCGCGCTCTGCTGATTGCTGAGCATCCGTGGAACCCGTGTGGTGCTTGGGACCATGCTGCGACGCCTGCAGCTGGGCCTGCAACCTAGCAGGTTGATTCCCCGGGCTCGTCTCGCCCCCCTGCTGGCGCAAGTGTGGTGCCCTCCCGTGGATGTGCGTCCGCCGATTTGCCGCCTGCTCTCTCTCTGCTCGCTGCGCTGGCCCGCCCCCGCCCCGCCGCCCGCCGCTGGCTTCGCTGCCCCGCGCGGCCGCCCCGCGCCTGATGGACGGCGTCCCCGTGGCAGCCTTTCTGTCTCTTCTTGCTCGGCCTGAGCACGGACCGTGAGCCTGGGAGGTCCTTCGCGGCCACCCTCCGTCTCCCGCGGGCTTGCCCGCGCCTTCTCCTCTCCTTCCCGCGTGCCCTCGCCGCAGATTCCTGCTCGCGTGCCAGGCATCTGCCGCGGCCGCGGCCGTGTCGTGCTCCGCCTCCTGTCTCTGTCGCTCTTCTGGTTGGCTCCTCTTTTTCGCTAGGGACCTGGGGCTCCGCTTCCCCTCGGTTGTGCTTTCGCGTTGGGCTGGGCCCTCCGCTTGTCCGTTGTGATTTTGTGAATTGTGCGCGACCCTTGGCGGGCTGGGCGCCGGCGGCAGTGCGCCCTGCCGCGTCACCTGTTTCCTTGCTCCATCCCTCTCTGGCTCGGCCCGCATCGCCCGCTTTCTGTTCCTCCTCCCCCCTCCCCCCTCGTCCCCCCCTCCGTGCTCCTCCTCCCTTCCCCCCCCCTCCTCCCCCCTCCCTCCTCCCATACCCCTTCCTTCTCCCTCCTCTCCCCTCCCTCCCCCCTCCTCCCCCCTCTCTCCCCTCCCTCGCCGCCGCCGTCCTCCTCCTCCCCCCGTGAGCGGGCCGCCGCTCCTCCGCGCCGCCGCCGCCAGGCAGCGGCGCCGCCGGCCGCGGGCGACTCGCCGCGCGCGGCGCCGCCCGCCGCGGGCGCCCAGGCGGCGGGGCGCGCCCAGGCTCGGGCCAGACGAAAGGGGGGGATTGGGAAAGGGGGGGTTGCGAAATTCGCTGCATGCAGCTGGTTTCGGCCTCGCCGCGGGGCCCATTCCTCGATACACGGGCGCCTCTGGCGCCGGGAGGCGCCGGGAAGATCAGCTACATGAGCTGATTCTCAAACCCCCCCCTTTGCTATCCCCGCCTTTCGCCCGACCCGACAGGCGGCGCTCGCCGCCGCGCGGGCGGCGCGGGCGCAGGCGGAGCAGGCGGCGGAGGCCCAGAGCTCGCTCCCCCGGCCGCCGTCGTCGTCGTCGTCGTCGTCGTCGTCGTCGTCGTCGTCGTCGTCGTCGTCGTCGCCCCCCCCCCTCGCGATGAAGGCGAGGGGTCCCAAGCCCCAAGGTTCCAGCACCCGCTTCGGATGCCTCGAGACGTGGGCCAATGCAAACTGCAAACGGGGGTCAGCCAGAGCGCCGGATCTTGCAGGATCCTGCAGAGCCAGGGGTGCACTGACCTGGGTCAGCGCGCAGGATCCTGCAGGATCCTGGAGGACTCTACAGGATCCTGCAGGGCCCGACTGGCCAGGGCTTGCATTTACCCGGGTCACTGCGTCCCGACGGTGGTGGTGGTGGTGGTCGTGGTGGTGGTGGTGGAGGTGGTGTGAGGAGTCGGAGGTTCAAAGATGGGGTCCTGAGGGATGGGGTCCTAAGGACGAGGCGCCTCGCACAACGTAAATCCACGCTTTGATACCTTCCTATCCTTAGGACCCTATCCCTCAGGACCCCGTCTTGGAACCACCGAAGGAGGGCAGGGGCAGCATGAGCAGCAGGGGGGGAGGGGGGAAATCATAGGAGGGGGAGCTAAGACAACGGCAGTGGGCCTTCGGGGGGGCCCTCGTCGCCACGGCTGGACGGAGGTCGGGAAGCTGGTGCGTTTGGGGCCGCGGGAGGAACCCCGGCCCGAGTCTGAGACGCCCTTGGGTGAGCACGTCCGGGCTCTGCAGAACGTGCCGGCGGCCCAGGCAAGCGCTGGGTCGCCGGGAACGAGGGCGGAACGGGGGGGTGGGACTGGAGCCGGCGGGGGGCCGGGGGGGGGGAAGGACGTGCCAGCTCGCGGGGCCAAGCGGCCTCGACCTCCACACCTGGCCTGCGAGGAGTCCTGGCATCCCAGGCTGGAGTGGTCGACGCCCCAAGAGTCGGGTGCGGAAAAGAGGAGGGTGATGACTAAGAGGGTGGATATCATGGCGTGGGCCATGATATTTCCCCAGATCTCATGGCGTCTCTTCTAATTTCATTACGTGCCTCGGCCCCCCTTGGGGCCGCGCACATGCCGCCGGCTATGATTTGCGCCCCCCCTCTTGGACGCCCCCCTCTTGGACGCCCCCGGAGGAAGTCCCCAGGATTCCTCAGCGTTCTGCACAATGTGCGGCTCCCTTCTGCGCCGTGGGCGGGTACGGAGGCGAGACGGCTCTGGTGCCGGATTGTCTCGGGCGCCGTTCGGCTGGGCGTGATCGGCAGTTGGACCGGACCTTGCAAGGCCGCCACCACAGCACAGGAGTCGGAGGGGGCCCGAGCCTTCCTCGCGTGCCATGTGGGTCTGGAAGACTCTCCGTCGCTCGCTCCCCGGCGTGGTTCCCTGGGCGAGGCTGCGCGGGTGAGCCCGAGGGGCAGCTCGGGCATAGTCCGGGTGCTCCGTGCGGGGTCGCCCGACGGCTCTTGACGTGCCTCGCCCGCTCGCGGGGCCCGCCCTGGGGCGTGAGCGCGGCCTGACCTCCGGCGAGGTCTGGTCCTCTTCGGGTTCTCCTGGGAGGAGGGGGAGGGGGAGGGGGAGGAGGAGGAGGAGGAGGAGGAGGAGGAGGAGGAGGAGGAGGAGGAGGAGGAGGAGGAGGAGGAGGAGGAGGAGGAGGAGGAGGAGGAGGAGAGGGGGAGGAGGAGGAGGAGGAGGAGGAGAGGAGGAGGAGGAGGAGGAGGAGGAGGAGGAGGAGGAGGAGGAGTCGGTGGACCTGGGAGCCCGGGTCGACCTCTGGGGCCGTCCGAGGGCCCGTACGGGCCCCGAGCGCCCCGTCCCTCCAGAGGTCCCGCCCGCTGGTCCTCCAGCGGGCGGCCTATCGCCCGGCTCCCCGGTGCCGTCCTCCCGTGCGCCCTCAGCAGGGCTTTTCCTGCCTCCGTCCCTGCCGGTCGGGTCGCTCCTGGCATCCGTGGTAGGCTTCGGGGGCGGCAAAGAGGGGGGTGATGACAAGGAGGGGGTGGATATCATGGCGGGGGGCATGATATTTCCCCAGGTTTCATGGCGCCTCTTCTTATTTCATTACGTCCCCAGCCCCCCCTTCCCTGGGCCGCCACCATGCCGCCAGACATGATGTGCACCCCCCCTCTTGGACACCTCCCTCTTGGCCGCTCCCGGAGGCTGCGCCCCTTCCACGGCCGGCGGAAGGCGACTCCTGGCCTCCAACTGTCTTCGCGACGAGGATGGAGCAGCTGACTCGCGCGGTGTGGCGGTCTCGACCCAGAAGAATCCGAGAGGCACGGTGGCGGCAGCGGGGGACGCCCGAGGGTGGGCGCCCAAGCGTTCCGCGTCCACGCCTGTTGTGGAGGATCGCCCTGCCTGTCCGCCGCGAGCAGGGCGGGGGTAGAGGTAATTACACCCAGAGGCAGGTGGAGGTACAGACAACAACGCCGAGGTGATGATGCGCAATTCGGGCTCGGAGGGGCCTCGCTGCTCCCTGGGCCCAATCCATGCCTGTGCCTCCGTAGAGTTCCACGTGCGCCCCAGGACTTGTTTTGGGCCAGCGCGGGGCTCTGTTCTTTAAGTGGAAGCGCTCGTGAGGACAGTGGCACGAGTGCAGAAGCACGGTCGCGATGCGCAAATCAGGAGCACTTTGGTGCGCATCGTCTTTCGGGCCGTTCCGCAGGTCTTGGCCGAGGAGCCCGCGGAGAAAGAGGAGGAGGAGGAGGAGGAGGAGGAGGAGGAGAAAGAGGAGAAAGAGGAGAAAGAGGAGGAGGAGGAGGAGGAGGAGGAGGAGGAGGAGGAGGAGGAGGAGGAGGAGGAGAAAGAGGAGAAAGAGGAGAAAGAGGAGAAAGAGGAGGAGGAGGAGGAGATGGCCGAGGCTCGGCGTGGCCGGAGCATCCTCTCCGTTCCTCCTTTGGCTTCCCTTTGGTGGTGGCATGCCGACGGCGGACATATCTGCAGCGGAGGGCGGCGGCAGGGCCCCGCGGCGGCAGGGAGAGGTTCGTTTCAGGGGAGGAGGCGGCAGGGAGGAGGATGAGGAGGAGGAGGAGGAGGAGGAGGAGGAGGAGGAGGAGGAGGAGGAGAGGAGGAGGAGGAGGAGGAGGAGGAGAGGGGACGAGGACGAGGACGAGGAGGAGGACAAGGACGAGGAGCAGGAAGAGGCGGAGGAGGAACCAGAGCCGGGAGCCTTCTCCTTTACTTGACCCCGACCCGAGTGTGCCGCCCAAGTCTCCGCCGCTCTTCCCCGACCCGCAGGTCGCCCGCGAAGCCGAGGAGGCGGCCAGGCGGGCGGAGGCCCTGGCCGCGGCCGCGCAGTGCGCCGACGTGCGTCCCCCGCGCGCCCCGCGCGCGCTTCGCGACGACGACGACGACCACGACGACCACGACCACGACCACGACCACGACAGCGCCGACGATGTCGACGACGCCGACGGGCCGGCGACGACAACGGCGCCGACGACGAAGACGACGACGACCACGACGACGGTGACGACGACGACGACAACAACGACGACGGCGACCACTACGACGACGACGTCGACGACGGCGCCCACGACGACGAGGACCACGACGACGACCACGTCGTCGTCGACGACGACGATGATGACCATTATGACGAGGACGACGCCGACGACGACGACGGCGCCGACCACGACGTCGCCGACGACGACGACGGCGCCGACCACGACGACGACGATCACGATGACGACGACCACGACGACGACGACCACGACGACGACGACGACGACGGCGCCGACCACGACGCCGACGACGACGACGATGATGACCACTATGACGACGACGACGACGACGACGACGACGACGACGACGACGACGACGACGACGACGACGGCGCCGACCACGACGACGACGACCACGATGACGACGACCACGACAACGACGACGACCACGACGACGACGACGACGACGACGACGGCGGCAGCGGCGACGACGGCGACGACGGCAACGACGACGCCGACGACCACGACGACGACGACTACAACGACGACAACAACGACGACTACGATGACGACGACCACGGCGATGACGGCGACGACGTCGGCGGCGACGACGACGACGGCGCCGACGCCGACGCCGACGCCGACGACGATGACGAAAACGACGACGACGACCACGACGATGACGACCACGACGACGACGACAACAACGACGACGACGACGATGACGACGACGATGACGACGACGACGACGACGGCGCCCACGACGACGAGGACCACGACGACGACGATGACGACGACCACCACGTCGTCGACGACGACGGCGACGGTGACCATTATGACGACGACGACGCCGACGACGACGACGGCGCCGAAGACGTGGACCACGACCACGACGACCACGACGACGACCAGGACGACGACGACCAGGACGACGACGGCGGTGGTGACGACGACGACGCCGACGACCACGACGACGACCACGACCACGACGACGACGACCACGACGACCACGACGACGACCACGACGGCGACGCCGACGCCGACGACGAAAACGACGAAGACGACGACGACGACAACGACGACGACGGCTTTCACGTCGCCGCCGACGACGACGACGACGGTGACCAATATGACGAGGACGACGCCGACGACGATGACGACGACGGCGCCGATGACGACGACCACGATGCCGATGACCACGACGACGATGACCACGACGACGACGACCAAGACGACGACGGCGGCAGCGGCGACAACGACGACGACGACGACGGCGCCGGCGCCGACGCCGACGCCGACGCCGACGAAAACGACGAAAACGACGACGACGACCACAACGACGACGCCGACGACGGCGACGGCGACGGCGACGGCGACCACGTCGACGACGACGACCACGACCACGACGACGACGACGACGACGACGACCGCGACGACGACGGCAGGGGTTGGGGGATCCGAGGGTTGTAAGAAATAGGGTGGCCAGATCTATACGTGATTCCTGGTCGAGGGTTCTCAGCCCTCCCTGTCGTCTTGGGGGGGGCGAGGGGCCGCAACCATGCCAGGAAGGAGGGAGTTTCGAGTGGTGGCAGAGATCTCCGCGCCGAGATGGGACGCGATAGAGAGTGCAGTTCTTCTCAGATCAGGCGATCGCAAACATGGATCAAGAGGGCGTGGATTAGCGACGGGCCCCGTTTCCATGGGAGATCGCGGATTTCCGCCGCCGAGCGAGGCGGCACCGGCCGCATTTTGGGGAGGGCCCCCCCCCCCCGATCCATGATTTGGCGACCGCGCGCCAAGTCCATGGATCGCTAATCCATGTTTGCGCGTCCCCGATCAGAGGGCGGCCGGGCTTCTCCGAGGCCCTCTGGCCTCCTGAGGTGCGTTCCGTGGCTTCGGAGGAGGCCTGGGGAGCGTCTCTCGGGCAGTGGCGAAGCGTCCAGGCCTGCCTCCAGGCCCACCAGGACGTGTTCAAAGAGCCTCTTGTGGGTTGCACGCCACGTGTTTCGAACCTGTCTGGCTGGGACTGTCTTGTTTTAGCACAGCGGGCTTGTGCTCTGCGAACACTGTTCTTGTTCTCAGAGCACGCCCTGGGTCTACGAGCATGCCGTGGTAGGCCTGTAGGAATGCCGGGACGGTCGGTCCCTGCTCGAGGCTCAGAAGGACGGAGGCCTTCTGAGCCCCCGGAGTGCGCACGCCCCCTCTGCCCCCTCCCTTGGGCTGGGCTCCTCGCACCAGGGAGGGGGTCCATAGCCGATCCAAGACATCCGCGCGGACCTCGGAGTGTTTGTGCTCTCTCTCTCTCTCTCTCTCTCTCTCTCTCTCTTCGGCACGAACGGAATGGGTACGGAAAGGATGGGCACGATGCCCAACGGCAGTTCCTGTTCATTTTGAACCGGACTCGCTGTCCACGCCGCCGCGGCCCGTGTCCGTTTGAGACAGAAGGCCTTCTGCCCAACAGCGGCCGCTGTTGGTTTGGGACAACATTTATGTGATTGGGCATTGCACCCCTTCTTTCCGTACCCTTTTCGGGCGTCCAAATCTCTCTCTCTCTCTCTCTCTGCTTTGTTCCTGCCCTTCCAGCAGAGAAGTCCAGCCAGAGCGACAGGGAGGGAGTTCCCTGGGGTCTGTGGTCTTCCAGGGCCCCCGACCCTCTGCCAGGTGAGTTCAACTTATGCCCTCTCGACCAGGCGGAGGAGGAGGAGGAGGAGGAGGAGGAGGAGGAGGAGGAGGAGGAGGAGGAGGAGGAGGAGGAGGAGTGCCGGGCTCCTCTCATCCCCAGTTCCTGGCGCTCGCCCCCGTGCGTGGCCTGCCTTGTCCGCCGCTCGTGCCCTCAGCTGTTCTCCGCTTCCGCGCTGGCAGAAAGCAACGCGTTTCCCCGGCTGGTCGGGAATTCCTCCCAGCGACGGGCGGCGGCAACGCCCAGCCCAAGTCTCCGCCGCCCCGTCCCCTCCCCCCCCCCCCCCGGGAGGCCGCGGGCCGTTCCGCAGGTCGCGGCCGGGGGAGCCCACTCTCGGCCGAGGCTCGGCCGTGGCCAGCGCATCCCCTCGCGTTCCTCAGGGTTCAGCCGCACGGCGAGGACGAGCAGCTCTCCAGGAGCTATGGGTGACCCCTGGCGTCCCTGCCGCTTCGGTTAAGTCGGGCCTGTCCTCCGACAGGGGGATCTTCGACGAAAACAACAAAAGATTCAACACAAAAATCCAAAATGGTCGAAAAATGCTCAAACAATAGTTCCCATATTATTTTTTTGCCTCTTTTTGACCATTCCCCCTGTAGAGGGACAGGCCCGACTTAACGCTTCGGCCCATCCTGGACAGCCGGCGCTGGCCCACCCCGCCCGGCAAACGTCGGCACGGCCTTTCGCGCGGCCCCCTGGCAGCCTTCACCACGCAGCCTCATCTCGCGCGTCTTGGCTGTGCTGGCTCTGTTTTGTTTATCCCTTGTTCGGAAACTAGAGCATATGCCTTACCAGTGGCGGGCTGTTCTTCAATCCCAGAACTCTTGGAGGGTCGGGGACGAGTTCGGGGTGGTGTGTGGTGTCCGTCCGTTTCCCCGCTTCTCCCCTGGGAGACAGCGAAACATGTACACACCAGGATCCCGCATGCACCAGGATCCGCTTTCCCGTGCGAGCTCCAGTGCGGGGCCGGGACGAGCGCCGGTGCACAGAGTTCGGCTGCGCATGCCTGTGGCGGCACGGCTCGGGGCCGCAGGGCCGGACGCTGCAGCTGAAGGGCGGCGACCGCGCTCCGCCCCCCCCCCGGCGAGGCCGAGGGAGCGGCCGGGCGGGCGGAGGCCCTGGCCGCGGCTGCGCAGCCCGCCGGCGGGCCGCAGGCCTGGCCGAGCGCCCCCCGCGGGCGCTTCGCGACGACGGCGACGGCGACGACGACGACGGCGACGACGGCGACGAAAGCGACGACGACGACGGCGACGAAAACGACGACGACGACGACGACGACGACGACGACGACGACGACGACGACGACGACGACGACGACGACGACGACGACGAGTGGTGAGGGATCAGAGGGTTGCAGGACATCTACTAGGGCGGCGAGATCTATAATTACATGATCCCTGGTTGAGGGTTTTCAGATATTCCCCTTTGTATTTATATATGCAGTGCTCATGGTCGGACACCGATTTTCATACCCGCGACGCAGCTTTCTCGGTGGAAACACGTTTCCCGAGTCCACGAGACAATCTTCATTGTGAAAAGACATGTTTTCAAAGCTGACGGCACAGCTGTCCCTTTGGAAGCAAGCGTTTTCCGAGTCCACGAAACAATTTTCACTGTGAAAACACAGGTTGCTCGTGCTGACGACGCAGTTGTCGATGTGAAAACATAAGTTCCCCGAGTCCACGAAACACTTGTTCATGTGAAAACGCAAGGTCTTGAAGCCCACGACGTAGTCTTCCTTGTGAAAGCAGAAGTATTCTGAGACGGCCCAAGAGGGCCCCAAGACAGCTCTAAGGAGGGGCCCAGACGGAGGATCCGACCGAACTTTCCGGGCCCTCGGCCCCAAGAGGCTTCCGGGAGGCTCCCAGAAGCCCCCGGGAAACCCCCAAGAGGAGCCAAGAGACTCCCAAGAGACCCCAAGAGGTCTCCGAGAGGCTCCAAAGAGGTCTCAGAATAGGCCCGAGCAGGCACCGAAACGGGCCCCAATGAACCCCCCGAGAAACTTGCCACCGAGGTGAGAGGTGTGAGAGGTGTGCCGAAGTAGGCGGAGGGGCAGGATGCGAACCTTGTCTCTGGGGCCGTCCGTGGAACTCGTTGCGGGCCACGATCTGTGTGAGAGGTGTGCAGAAATGAGCGGGGCGACGGTGTGAAGCTTCTGTCTGGCGCCGCAAATGCAGTCACTTGCGGGGCACGATCCGCATGAGGGGCGTATGCGAGCCTTGTCTCTGAGGGCATAGGTGGAGCTCCCTGTGAGGCGCGATCCCTGTGAAGGGTGTGCCGGCATGGGCGGGGGGACGCCAAGCCAAGCTTGTCTCTGCGGCCGTCGGTGGAGCGCCCTGGAGGGCACTGTCCGCGCGACAATAGATGTCCTCCGATGCCGAACACTTTAGACTACAACTAGAGGCTAGAGCTTGCTAGAATCGAAGCGTGCGCGTGGTTCTAGTATATATGTAGATGGTTACGGTTACCTGTACATGTATACTCATTATCTAGAGGCATAGAGAAAACGAGAGAGAGAGAGAGAGAGAAAGAGGCATAGAGAGAACGAGAGGGAAATACATCAAGAGAGCGAGAGAGAGAGAGAGAGAATAAAGGAAAATATAATGGCAGGAAGAGAAAGAGAGAAAGAGAGAGAGAGAGAGAGAGAGAGAGAGAGAAAGAGAGAAAGAGAGAGAGAGAGAGAGAGGCAGAGAGAGAGAGAGAGAGAGAGCATCCAGGAGGGTAGCTCCGGCCGTGGCAGGCCACGCGCAGTGCCAGCGGGCCTGGCGGTGGGCCCGTCGACGTGCAGGTGGAGGCCGCGGGCCATTTGCAAGCAGATGCATCCGGGCAGGGCGCGGGGGGGTGGCTGGTGCCAGTCTCTCTGTCAATCTGTGGGTGGGAAAAACACACAGACACAGTTGATCTTCGATTCCCCAGAAAATGTAGGAAAATATGGGAAGTGGGGGGAAGACAAAAACCGAGAAAATATGTGAAAATATGGAGCATCCTGTTATTTAATCGCTTCGCTCATTCCGCCGGCCCTGGAGCGCTATTTGGGGCCTCTTGGGGCTGTCTTGGGGGCCTCTTGGGGGCTTCTTGGGAGCGTCTTGGGGCTCCTTGGCGGCGTCTTGGGCTCCCGGGGCCTCTTAGGGGGCTCTTGGGGGCCCCTTGGGGCGGGAGGGGGGGTAGTCGATTGCAGCCACCCCCTCGGAGGCCGCGATCCTCGTGAGGGGTGGCGAACAATAGCCTCCCCCCTGGGGATCGCCCGGGACCCGGCCGGGGATCGGCCGGGATACTTTTCGTCCGGGGCCCCCAGGGGCCGCCCCGCGCGCGCGAACTACAAATATTGTTAAGTAGTTACCGGAGATCTTGTCACGCCTCTGGCCCGTTGGGCCGGCGAATTTGTGTGTATTTATGTGTGTGTCCCAGGGCCGCTTCAGTGAATCCGGGCCGCGCGGGTCCCAAGGGCAGCTCCGCGCCCGCTCTGAGCACGATGTCCGAGGCCGTCGGCCAGGGTTCTGCGGGCCACGCGCGCGCGAAGTCACAAGCAGCCGTTGAGCCGACTTGGTCTCTGTGCGTGCGTGCGTGCGTGCGTGTGTGCAAGTTCTTGTGTCAGAGGCACTCTCCTCTCTGCCCACCCTGGCCGCTGCTTGGCATCGCCACTCTCCTCGTCTGCCCTCTCCCCATCCTCTGCCCCCCCCTCAGCCCCGCTCCCCTCTTCCCACGCCACCTCCGCGCGCCTTCTCCTCTCCTCACTCTCGCCTCCAGCCGAGGTTGATCAGGAGGTCGGCCCTGCCGAACAGTGGATGCCCTTGTGGCCTGTGTCTCGCAGCCCCATGCCCTGAGCATTCCGATGGCCACGCTGCCCTCCGAAGGGTCTTGTGTCCTCTCGCGTGTCCTCTCCCATCAACCCCAACGGAATTCCTCGCCCTCGCGCTGCTCCTTCTCCTCCTCCTCCTCGTCCTCCTCCTCCTCCTCGTCCTCCTCCTCCTCCTCTTCCTCCTCCTCCTCGTCCTTATCGTCCTCCTCCTCTTCGTCCTCCTCCTCCTCCTCCTCCTCCTCCTCCTCCTCTTCCTCCTCCTCCTCCTCCCTCTCGCTGCTCCTTCCCCTCTCTCCCCCCCCCTTCATGGAGGTCGTGCCCCGCGCTCTGCAGGGCTGCAGGTCCGGGCGCGACGTGCAGGTCGAGGCGCTCCCCCCCGCTCGGGGGTGGACAGAACCCCCAACAGTGACACGTCGATTAGTGAGTTGTCCGTTTTCGGTTCTCGAGAGGGCGCCGTGGCCGTTATTTTCCAGGCTTGCGCCCGCCAGGTTTGGGCCTCAGGTCGTTTTCACTAAACCACGTTTTACTAAAGGGGGGTCTGTCCACCGCCGACCCGCGCCGCTTCGGCGGCTAGGGGAGTGGGGGGTCGGCGGGCTCCTCGAGGGAAGAAAGCACTCGAAGAAGAGCAGGCGCCATAATCAGAAACTGTTGGCGCTCCGCGCGGGTTTCTTGGATCCGCGCTGGGTTCCCCTGGGCGGCGCCTCCGGCGTCGCCCGTGGTGCGCTCCGCGCGCCAGGGAGGGGGGGCCAGCGCGGATCCAATAGATCTGAGCGGAGCGCCACAAGTTTATGTTTATGGCGGTTTTCTTTTTTCTAAACACGGGGACCAGGACCAAGATGTCGCGGGACCTTGCCGACGCCAATCTTGGTCATGGTCCATGTCGGCCGTCGCCGACCAGGATCGGCGCTGACCAAGACCGACATGACGTTTACGCGTTCAGTCTTGGTCATGGTCACCGATTGCTTCCCCTGCAGCTTCGACGGTGATCCGCGGGGTGGCATTTTGCAGGAGGTGCACAGGCGTGATCAGTCGTGGTGGCGGCGAAGATGCTGGCGATTACCGCCTGGGCGATGGCGGCGGAAGGGAGCAGGAAGAGGCTCGGCGCTGGAGGTGCAGGAGTCCGATAGCCGCGATGCTTCTGGGGCTGCGTGGCGGAAGCAGCCGCGCCTCGCGGCGAGGCTGAACGCGCAACCAAAAAATGCAAAGGTTTCAGCGGTTGTCGAGGAGGAGGACATGAGCTCCCTGCCCAGCTCTACAACGTCTAGTTTTATCCACGCGTGGACGCTCTCGGCCGCACCTTTCGCGCACGTAATTCGCGACGTAGGCTGCTCAGTCTTGGTCACGGTTCCCACACTGGGCCTCCTGAAGCCCAATCCCAGCAACATCGGCCGTCTTGTTTTTGAAGGGCATTGCATGTCACAATATGTGTGTGTTTTGTGTGTGTGTGTGTGGTGTGTGTGTGTGTGTGTTTGTGTGTGTGTGTGTGTGTGTGTGTGTGTGTGTGCGTCGTGCGTCGTGCGTCGTGCGTGTGCGTGTGCGTGTGCGTGTGCGTGTGCGTGTGCGTGCGTGCGTGCGTCGTGCGAGCGAGCGAGCGTGCGTGCGTGCGCGCGCGCGCGTGTGTGTGTGTGTGTGCCTAGCCGCCGACGCGAAAAGTGTGAAAGTGTGTGTGTGTGTGTGTGTGTTTGTGTGTGTGTTTGTGTGTGTGTTGTGTGTGTGTGTGTGTGTGTGTGTGTGTCCGTAGCCTTTTGGCTCGAGCGGGCGCCCTCCTCGGGGTCTCCCGCACTCAAGGGGGCATCCGACGCAAGGGACCCCGTCCCCGCGCCGCCACGGGGGCCCCCGCCGGCCCTGACGGGGCCTCTCGTGCCGACAGGGGCCCCAGGGCTGACTGCGACCCCCGGGAGATGGGGGGCAGGGGCAGGGCCGATGCGGATCCCGTTCAGGGTCCACCTCGCCCCCCGCGCGCCGAGGACCCCCCCCCCCGGGGCGCATCCCAGGCCGCGGGGGGGGGGGCGTCCCAAACCGCGCCGAAGCGCGCCAGTTCGGTGCCCCCCCGAGCGTGGCACAGGAGGGCGCGAAGGAGCCGACGGCCTCCCCCCGCTGGGCGCCGCCTGCCCTCCGCGCGCTGACGGGCTCTTCCCCCGGGGGAGCTCTGTCGGCCGCGGGGAGGGCCCCCCCCCCCCGTGGCGCGCCCGCATCAGGCACGTGCTCCTCCCTAACGGAGACGACCCAGGAGGCGTGGGCCAAGTGCCCAATCCCCTGGGGGCCGCGAGGCGCCCCCCGAAAGACGCCGAGGCCTTGCCGCCGTGCTCGACGAAGTTCACGCGGCGAGCAGCCCGCCGTTCGCGCGACCCCGCCCCTGGACGCAGGGCCCACAACGGCAGCGGGCCCGCGCAGCAAGCGAGGGGCAGTCAGCTCGCCCGGAGCAATGCGCCATCGGGGGGTTCGAAGCCCGCTGATCAAGGCGATGTGGTAAAAGCAGGCCTGGCGCCCCCCGAGCCTCAGGACTCTGGCGGCGACCGCAGGCCCCCCCCTTCGGCGGCGCTGCGCCCCCATCCTGCGAGCGCGATTGCGACCGCTGGCGATCAGAGGACCTACCTGGACAAGAAGATGACGCCCCTGACGCCCCCTGCTGGAGAGCGAGCCCACAGGGCGACCCCATCGCCCAGCGCTCCCCGAACAACGTCAGGAGTTGAACCCCTGCGGGCGCGGAAGCAGCCAGAGCCCGAGAGGCCGTTCGGCCCGCCGCGCCCAGCCCAGGCTCCCCCGCGCGGAGCGGGAAACCCCGTGCCCCGGGCCCCGGACACAGCATGGGCCCCCAAACGCCCCGGCGAGACTCCGCCTCTGGCGGTTCGGCTCGGCATCCTGGGCGAGGCGGGGCAATCCACCGAAGCCCTCGCCGCCGCGCCCCTTGCCGTCGCGGGGGGCAGCGGCGGGCGGCCCATCCTGTGCGGAGACGAGAACCAGCTCTGCCCCGCAGTCGCGTCTCTTCGGGCTGCGGCGCTTGGCGTGGCCCTCTCGGTGCTCGCGCGCCCTCTCGACTCGCTGGGCAAAGGCGACTGCGACGTGCTACTCGATCTGTGCAGCCGGATGCACCCTGGCATTATGCAGCGGCCTTCCCACTGCTCCTGCGAGGGAAAGCTGCTCTCTGGCCTCTCCCGACGCGTCGCTCAGAAGCCCCTGCTCCCATGGGCTACCCTGGAGGAAGGCCGGGCCGGCAGATCGCGATGGCGCGCTCGACACCCCCCGCGACAACAGCACGGGCCCCGCGCTCATGGGGGCCGACGGCTTCCTGAACGCCCAGCGCAGCGCCCAGTCAGGGGACCGCGTCCGAGACCTGGGCGTTCACGAGGGCGGCCGGGCTCTCCGCCACACATTGGCAGAGGTCACCGTCAACCTCCGAGAAGCCACAACCGTCTGCGACATTATCAAGGCCATGGAGGACCACCTCCTGGATGCCAACGAGCGCGCCATTGTCCTCTGCGGCTACGTGTCCAGGCAGTGATCATCAAGAAAGGTTGGCCAATTGACCCCGTCGCCTTCCTGCGAGCCTGCCGGGACAAACCCGCGACCGCGGGCAGAGGCGCGTCCCGTCCCAAAGGCGCCCCCCCGCAGCTCCCGCGCGCCCCCCCCCCCGCGCCTGGCGCCCTCCGAGATGGCCAGGGAAAGGCGATGGCGCCCCCGCAGGACGCGCGTTCGGCGGGCGACCCGCCAGCGCCCTCGACGGCCTCGGTCTCCAATTCAGCGGCCTCGAGTCATCCTGCCGACGGCTATTTGACCTCGGACTCATCAGCGCGTCGACCATCGACGGCAGCCAGGGAGAAGAGGCGAACCTCGTTGTCCAGTGCACCGCGCGATCCAACTCCCGTGGGCACTGGTGGTTCGTCGACGACCCGCATCGCACCAGCGTCGCCTTCGCGCGAGCCCAAGAAGGCGCCATCGTGATGCTCGACGCCAAGATGGCCGCCTCCGCCAACGAACCCCATGGGCACATCCTCGCCGACCGGGCGGGCGCAGCTGGGCCGCGGGCCCACTTCGCCAGCGTCTGGGCCCCGCTCTGACCGAGCCCGGCTTCCTCCTCCCTCCCGCCGCCGCGGGGTGCTTCCTCCCTCCTCCTGCATGGTGGCTTGATTCACGTTCGTGCACCTACCAACGCCCCATCGCCAGCGCAGTGACTCTGTCTAGCCGCAGACGGAACAAGTGTGTGTGTGTTTTTGTTTGTGTGTGTGTGTGTGTGCGTCTGTGTCTGTGTGTGTCTGTGTGTGTGTGTGGGTTTGTGTGTCTGTGTGTGTGTGTGTGTGTGTCTGTGTGTGTGTGTTTGTGTGTGTGTGTGTGTGTGTGTGTGTCTGTGTGTGTGTCTGTCCGTGTGGTGTGTGTCTGTCCGTGTGTGTCTGTGTGGTGTGTCTGTGTGTGTCTGTGTGTGTGTGTGTCTGTGTGTGTCTGTGTGTCTGTGTGTCTCTGTGTGTCTCTGTGTGTCTCTGTGTGTGTGTGTGCGTGTGTGCGTGCGTGCGTGCGTGCGTGCGTGCGTGCATGTGTGTGTGTGTGTGTGTTTTTTTGTGTGTGTGTGTGTGTGTTCGCGTGTGTGTGTGTGTGTGTGTGTGTGTGTGTGCTGGTGATGGGAAAAATCGCCCATCGGACCCCTCTAGGGATGCGTCCTGGCCAGCATGCGAGAGGAAACCAGCCGCGGCGACCAGAAACTTCCTGGACTGCAACTGTTCAGAAAAAGCCCACCCGATGATCCTCGAACATCGATCCTCGAGCCTCGAACCTCGATCCTCGACCCTCGATCGGTCCTCAATCGTCGATCATCGAACCACCACCCTCGAGCCTCGATCCTCGAACCCCGATCCTCGATCATTGAACCTCGATCTTCTATCCCGCAATCTCGATTCACCCCACCCTCACCCCGCCGCCGCTCTCGAGGCGCTGGGCTCCCGGCAGCGCAGCCTGGTACCCCTCGCGCCTGGCGTGCCAGGCGAGCCTCTCGAGCGGGGAGGGGTGGTCCCGACGAACAGATGACGGCACGAGCAGAATTTGTCGGAGGTCAGCGCTGATCTTTCGGATCCGTGCTGAGCCATTCTGACGGCGCCAAGCAGTGGCAAGCAATGGAAACCAATGGCGCAATGGCAAGCAATGGCAAGCTCTGCCAGGCAACGTGCAGCCACGCCAAGGAATGCCAAGCAATGCCAGGCAATGCCAATCAATTGTGTGGATCGGCGCTGGCCCCCCCTGGCGATACCCCCGTCGCCGCCCATGTCACGTTCCGCGCGCCAGGTAAAGTTGTCCAGCGCCGACCCAAGAAATCCGCGCGTACCTGCGACAGTTTCTGATTATGCAGCCTTTCCCCCTGCATGAGGGTTCGTGATCGTGTCTGTGAATGTACCGCCTTGGCCCACAAGAGAGGTGTCATACAGATTGCTGTGCAGGTGGGAGCACGCGATCGCACTGCGAACACGGCAGTCTTTTCATGTGGTCCAGCTTGCCCCGGCCTTGGGCAGGGTGGGGCTGGGCATGCTGGGCTGACGCGGCGGGGGAGGGAACATACTTATACTATGTGTTCGTCGCCCCCCCAGGGGCGACGCGCGCACCGAGAAATCTTGTAGTATATGCGTCGTGGCGGGCGCTTTCTGGCCACACCGCTCGAGAAACGATACACTACAAGATGGGTATACTATATGCTCGGGTCGGACGCGCGCCTCCAAGGAGGACATATAGTATTAGTATGTCCCTGTGCTTCCCAGGAAGGACCGCGCGCGCACTCTTAGCACAGCAGGGCGGCGCCAAGAGGGGGCTGTTGGCTGCCCGCGGGCTTCTCGTGCGCCGATTGAAGACGGCGACGGGAGCGGGGCTCGTCCCCGCCTGGCCTCGCCCGGGGGCTGCTTCGGGCTTGTGCGGGGCTGCCTGGCGTTGCTTGCCGGTGGCTTGGCCTCGCGTGGCGTGCGGCTCTGGCGGTCCTCGGGGTTGCCCAGGGGCCAAGCCACGCCAGGCAGCGCCAGGCAGTGGCAAACAATGCCAGGCAACTCGCAGCAACGTAGAGCCAAGGCCAATCAACCCGAGGCATCGCCGAGCGATGCCGAACGATGCCAATCAATGCCAAGCAATGCATGGGCAATGGCAAGCGGTGCCAAGCGAAGCCAAAGTGCAAGCGGCACCAAGCGCTGCCACGCAACGCCAGACATCGCCAAGCGTTGCCGAGCAGTGCAAAGCCAATTCCCAGCAATGCCAAACAATGGCAAGCACCGCGGAGCAATGCCAAGCAATGTCGAGCATCGCAATACTGGGCAATGCCAAGCAACGCGTGGCTTTGCATTGTTCAGGATTGCTTTGGTTTGTTTTGGGACGAAGAACATTTTTAATTGGGGTCGCACTGGGCTCGCTCCTTCAAGGGGGGTGAGCAGAACTAGGTGAACGGTGCGGTCCGGTGAGTGGGAGAGCCGTGCAGGGTTCATTCCGTATTTTGTGTATCGGTCTCCGCAGTACACCTCGATTTGATGCACATTGTGATCCGATGCGATTTCCATAATCGATGTTGACTGATCTTTTCGTATGTTCCCAGACATCTTTTCTTCCCATCATCAGCCGTCCCCATCGTCCTCGCCTTTTTTCTGCGTCCGCCACGTTCTTCTCCTAGTCTTCGTTTCGTCCTCCTCTCCCTTATATCCATCCTCCCTCCTCCTCGTCCTTTTCGTCCGCGTCATCGTCTTCGTCCTCCTCGTCCCTCTCCCTCCTCCTCGTCTTCGTCTCGTCCTCGTCCTTCCTCCTCGTTCTTCCTCCCCAACATCCGGCGGCGTCGTGTCAGACTGACCACCGAAATCTTCGGCCCCAGCCTGGCGCGGGAGCTCCCGAGATGGGCTGATCGGGTTGAAGAGTTTAGTTCAAGTCAAAACGCGTCGTGAGGAGGACCTTCTCTCCAAGGTCACCCTGGCCATTTTTCCTCTTCGGACCATCTTTGGCCAGTTTCGCTGGCAAGCTCCGTTCGACAGTCGTCAAGATGGCCTTCCAAGGCTCTTACATCCTCACCGCGCATCTTCGTTTGGATTGGAGTCGGTTTCGCGAGAGCAGCCCCGGAATTGCCTTCATCCGGGCGAGTCCCTCCCGCGCAGAGTCCCATGCCCGCGCCACATCGCCATTTTTCGCCCATATCGGGGCTGGGGTGCGCCAGCGTAGGAGCGTGTGGCTCCACATCGGGGGCCGATTTGTCTCCAGCAGAATTCCCTTGGACACTCGCAACAAGAAGTATTTGTATGTACGCCCATCGGCGAGATGAGTTGTCGCGCGCGTGTGCTCGGCGCTCGCGCGCGCGCGATCCCAAGACGTCCCCATGGCCACAAAATGGTTCCAGGAAGGCCTGAGGCCACAGACCAACCACGATCCCGCCATGGATTCTGGACCGTCCCAGGCCGATTCGAAGATGACCAAGCACATGAGCCACGAGTGGCGCCGAGATGGCCCGATGGCAACAAGATGGATCCACGCGCGCCCAGGGTGGCCCCAGAATGAACACGCGACGGCTGCGCGATCCAAGCATGACCGATATATGATTTCGATATGACCTCAAGGCGACCCAGACGCGGCAATAATGCTGCAACCTCGAAGCCCCATCTTGCTTTGAGCCGATCCCAGCATAGCGGGATACGTGAACGATCCGGGATATTAGTTTACCTGTTTTTTAATGGGTTGGACTTTAGTCTGGCTGAGCTTGAATTGTGGTATTCAAGGAGACTAAGTTGGGCGGGATCCCGCCCGGCCCACGACACAAGACTACACTGCTAGGCTTCTCTGGGGGGTAGAGGGGGCTCGGACGGGGCGTCATTTACTTCCGCTGTCTTCCGCAAGCCTTCCGACGGCCTTCCGCCGTCTTCCGCCTCGTTTTATTCCCATCGGCTTCTGCTAGCGAGCGATGTGGTGAAAACTGAAGGATCTTTCACTGGGCCGATGTAGCGTCAGTCAATCGGCGATGCATCGCTGATTCAAGGCAATTGTCCCCCCTTTAGCCCAGGGCCATTCTCGATCCGATCGATCCGATTCGGTGTCGATTTCGGATAGTTAGATCCGCTTCGCTTCCGATTTCCCAGCGATCCGGTGCGGCCCGATATGGCCCGATGCTTGCGTAGCGCTGTTGCACATCCTTGCGCAGCCGATCCGAGCCGATTTCTATTCCGTGCCGGTGAGTCCCGGATCGATGCCCATTTCGATGCATATCCGATTTGCCAGCTCGCTGCTGACCAGTCCTTCCCCTTCGGCTCCCACTGGCGGAGCACAACTGTTTCTGCTGCCGATCCGCAGCAGGCAGCTCTGTTGGGGGTGCAGGCCATCGGCGCTCCGTTTTTTGGTCCGCTCGTGGGCCGCACAGAGTCTCTGGAGAGGGGAAGGGGCAGAGGAGACGGACAAGCCAGGTTTGCGTCGGGCCTGTCCGTCTACAGGAGGAATGCTCAACAATAGTCAAAGAATAGTCTGGGGACTACTTTTTGCATATTTTTCACCATTTTGGAGTATTTTTAGGGTACTCTTAATTTTTCGTCGAAAATGTTCCTGTAGGGGGACACGCCCGACTTAAAGCTAGGTGCGCGCGCGCCATATCTGACATCCTGCCCCTCTCAGCCATCCCTCCCCCTTGCGTTGTTTTTCCTCTATCCGCGGGCGCGGGCCACAACGGCACTGAAGCTCCATGGTGTACTCCTGCGTTGCACCCCGCCGTCGCGGATAAGAGTGGGGGGGCGGCGGGGACGTCGGCGGTATGCGAGGCTCTGCAGAACCCTGCCGCAGGTGCTTCATTTTTAAAAATATACGAGGTGCCCGCCGCAGCAGCCGATACTCATTCAAGCAATGTGGGTTAGTCACGGCGTGGGTCGCAGGTGGGTCGCGGGTGGGTCGCGGGTGGGTCGTGGGCCAGGTCGTGGGTGGGTTGCGGGTGGGTCGCGGGTGGGTCGCGGGCGTGTCGCGGGGTTGGTCGCGGGTGGGTCGCAGGCCATGCCGCGGGGGAGACGACGCCACACAACAACAAAAACAACAACAGCAACAACAACAACAACGATAATGTTAAGACTGGTCGCCCTTAAATGCTCGAGTGTCCATTAACGCGTATATCCCAAACCCTCGATACCCGCCCTCTTCGTCTTCGATCGAACCCCTTTTGGGGGGTATACCTTTCTTCCCTGCAGGCTGGGCCCCGGCAAGCGGCGGGGCGGCCGCGGACCGTCGGCCTGGCCAGCGGCAGCGCTGATCGGCGGGGCGGCCGCTGACCGTCGACCCAACCCCAAGAGGGACGGACAGGGGACCGACCACGACGACGACGACGTCGACGACGACATCGAAGACGACGGAGACGACGACGACGGCGACGACGAGCGAAAGCGAGAGCGAGAGAGAACGACAGCAGGGCCACGAAGGGCACGAAGTAGGCCACGAAGGGCGACAGCGGTGACACGAAGGGAATGCGTATGGGGCCACGAAGAGCGCGAACGAGCGGGGGCCACGAAGTGCAGATAATGCGGGGCCACAGAAGGCAACTATGGGGCCACTGAGGGTAGCAACTGGGCCACGTAGGACAGTGAGGGGGACACAAATGGCGACAGCGGGGCCACGAAGGGCATGCACATGGGGCCACAGCGGGCGCGACTCCTGGGTGCCTGGGTGTCGGGAGCGCGGCGCTTGGGCAAATTGCAGGAAATTCCAACGCAAGGCCATTCTTCAGTAAGTTGCAAGCATGTCTCCAGCGAGAGCGCGACTCCAGAGCGCCGGGAAAGCGATTCCTGAATAAATTGTCAGGAAGTCCCAAGCGAAAGCGCGATTCCTGAATCAACTGCGAGGAACTCGGGCGGGAGCGGGGGTCCTGGCTAAATTGTAAGGAAGTCTCAGGCGGGAACCGGTGTAGTTGTAACCCGGGGGCAAGGGGGCCAGTTTGAGCAGGAAGATTTTCCCGGTCAAAAAACAGGGTGCGAACGTCGAGGGGCACACTTTGATGGAGCAAAAGCAGTATGCACCGGTGAGGGGTATCAACAATGATTATTCTTCAGAAGTGAGAATTCAACAACAATAACAATACCACTCGTAATATCAACAACACCAATCATTATACCCTCATGCGCGATGCTTCCACATGCAGCATGCGACCATCATGATAACCATCCCCATCATTGGTGATTCTTGTTCTATCGCGGGGGCCCGTTATTCCCATTCCCAAATATCCCGTCCAATGAGGTCTTGTAAACACCTCCTCCGACCAATTTCAACATATCCCGCCTCATGCCCGCCCCCTGCTGCGCCGATGCGAGACCGCTTGTGGGACCGCAGCTGAGGGTAAACCACAAAGAAGTGTCTAGCGATAGGGTTGGCTTGGTGGGGATGGGGGCTGTCGGCAGCGAGGCAAGGACCTGGCCCTGAATAAAAAAGGAGGAAGTCTCGAGCAGGGGTGCCACTGTTGCTGGGAGCGGCGCCAATGCAGAAGAGACTAGGGCGCCAGTCCAGCGTGAAACAACAAGAAGTCTCAAGCGGGAACGCTGGTTTTGTTGGGACGGCGGTTGTCGGCGGCGAAGAGGAACATCGCCTTGAGCAAGAAGGGAAGAAGTCTCGAGCGGGATCCGCGGTTTTGTCGGGACGGGGGCTGTCGGCGTCGAGGAACAGCACCGTCTTCAGGAAAAAGGGAGGAAGACTCGAGCGGGAGCGTTGTTTTTCTGGGAATGGCGCCAATTCGAAAGAGAGTTCGGCGCCAGTCCAGCGTAGAACGGGACGACGTCTCGGGCGGGAGCGCAGGTTTTGTTGGCGCGGCGTGTTCGGCGGCGAGCAAAAGCACCGGCTCGGAGTAAAAAAGGAGGTTGTCTCGAGCGGGAGTGTTGTTTTTGCTAGGGGCGGCGTCGATGAGAGAAAGAGTAGCGCGCCAGTTCAAGGTAAAACGGGAAGAAATCTCGAGCGGGAGCGTTGGTTTTGTTGGGGCGGCGGTTTCGGCGGCGAGCAAGAACACCGGCTCTGGGTAAAAAAGGAGGAAGTCTCGAGCGGGAGCGTTGTTGTTGTTGTTGTTGGGGCGCCAGTTTTGGCGCCCCCCCAAACCGCTCGAGGGTGAACCTCATTTTCAATGAAAATGTGGCCGGCGCCGAGGCGAGAACCCCAGGGCGCCTGGGGGGTCCAACAATGATAATTGTTTAGTAATGAACATTCAACAACAACGACAGCAGCAACAACAACGAAAACAGCAACAACAACCACGGACACAACAACAACAACAACAACAACAACAATAACAACAACGAACACAACAACAACAACGAACACAGCAACAACAACAACATCAACAACAACGAAATCAACAACACCATCACCAACAACAACAGAAACAACAACAACAACAGGAACAGCAACAACAGGAACAACAACAATCCACATCGCGGAGTCCCACTTCAACCACGCCCCCAGGGACAGTGAATGACCGTTCCGCCCCCTCACTCTGATCGTGTCATGCGCAATCGGAAAGAGGGCTGAGGAGGAGGAGGAGGACGCCCCTGCAGTACCGCGCACTGAGGAGCCTCTGTTCTCCAGACCTCCGGACAGGACAGGAGGGCGCCGAGGCTCTCTCCGGGCGAGGCGAGCCGAGGTGGGTCTCAGCCTCCCCCCCAAAGAGGACACGGTCCACGCTCGGGGCCTCTTTGCACGCGCGCGTCCGCAACCACAGACAGTCGCCCTTCCTCTCCTCTCCTATTCTCCTCCTCCTCCTCCTCCTCCTCCTCCTCCTCCTCCTCCTCCGTCTCCTCCGCCGTCTCCTCTTGACGTCGTCGGTCTATCTACTCACCAGATTCGTCAGGTCCGTGCTATATACCACGCTGGTCTCGGCACAGGTAAGCGTAGGTCTGTCACGATGGATTTGGCGTTGCATGGTGTTACCGATCCTGCTATCGATGCTCATGCTGAGGTTATTCGTCTCTGGACTGTCTCTAGATGGGACTCTCTTCTTCCTGTCGGAATGATAGATCAAGTTTTCCAGTTTGCCTACGCCAAGGTGACGCCAGATACCCCGTGGACTGAATTGCAGGGCCCAGGACAAATTTTGGTTGCCACTATGCGTAGAATTGGGTGGTCTGCGGTTTCGCCTACAATATGGCGTACTTCTCTTGGAACGGACGTTGATATTTCGTCTACTTCCCCTCGTGAAGTGGTGGCACTAGTGACTCGCGACGCGTCTGTCTGGTCCTGGAAACAGGCCTCTGAGCGTCACCCATCCTTCAGTCACCTGTCTGGCCCCCCCTTTCTTCCCCCTCTTCTTTCCCTTTTGTCTAAAAAGACTGAAGGATGGGGTGTCCTCCAGCAGCGTGCTTTGAGGACCTTTTTATCTGGGGGCATTTACTTTAAACCTGTGTGCCCCATTTGCCAGGTCGCCCCCTCTGACCCCGTGTTTCACACCCTGTATGAGTGTGATGGGCTTGTGGAGTTTCGTCGTTGGTTCGGCCCGACTCCAGCCCTCACCCGTTGCATAGAGCAGTACCGCGAGAACCCTGTCTGGACCACTGCCTTGGTTCCCGACCCTCGCTATTGCTCCCTGCTCGCACCACCTTTTCCAGACCCTGTCTGGGAAGGAGCCACAGACGGCCCCTTCTTCTCGTCGCCCGCGTTTGGAGACGGCTCGGGAAAGCATGGTCCCTCGCCGCTCACTCTCCGCTGTGGATGGGGTGTATGCTCATTTGCCCCGCGTAGTCGCAATGTTTTCGGAGAGGCCATCGCCAATGATCGGCTTCGGCTTAATGCTGGTGCATATGGCGTATATCCCTTTCTCACCCAGGATGTCTCAGGGGCTGAGCTTTATGCGTTTTTTATTTTACCTAACACATGCTGCCCCCTCTGACTGCTATGAGTTTGTCACTGATGCCCAGTACTCTGTGGACGGATGGGCATTGGGGTATGAAGCTACCACGCACGGATGGGCCACTCACGCATCCTTGTGGGTCCGTGTCCACCGTGCGGCTTCAGATATTGGGTATCATTTAGTTGAGGTCACCAAGGTTCGTGGCCATTCCACCTCCGCTGGTAATAAGCAAGCGGACAGACTTGCTAACCTAGGTGCTGACCTACACAAACTTGACACGGTACTGCACGACCGTGTCAAGCGCTCTGGATTGCTTGTGCGCAATCTTGGCGTGTATATCGGGCATTGTATAGCATGGATTTTCAAGAACGTGCCCAAAAAGGTTTGGGTGGTGGATTCTGATGAGTCCCCCGCCCCCACGGCCCTTTCCCTAGTCCTCTCTGGTGCCTCCTCTGGGGCATTGCATGAGCACTTCTGGGACCCCTCGGCGGGTCGGTTTCGATGCCTGAATTGTTGGGCTAGTTCAGTTTCCAAGAGCTATTTATTGAATCGCTTCGCTCATTCCGCCGGCCCGTGATATGGCATCGCTGGTTTTTGTCTGTGTATTCGTTGCCCATGTTGCGCTCTTGGGAGCGGGTATCGTTCGGACGCGTTGTGTGGGGAGTTTTGATGGTGAAGCAGTTCCCTGGGGGTCGTCTCTCGATGGGGCGAAATAGGGTCGTCGTCAAGATGCTTCTTTTGGGGGCCTCTTGGGGTCTGTTGAGAGGCCGTTCGGGGGCGCCTGGGAGACATGTTTGAAGCCTTCTGGGGCTTCTTTTGGGCCTCCTGGGAGTCTCCTGGGGCCTCTTGGCGACATCTTGGGGCCTCTTGGAGGCCTCTTGGGGCCTCTTTGGGACCTCCTGGGCGCCTTCTGGGACGGAGGGCTCCATTTTTGAGTTCTCGGTATCCCTCCTGAGTCCCTCTTGGGCCCGTCTTGGGGCCTCTTGGTCCGTCTTGGGCGGCACTTGGGCCGTCTTGAGGGCTCTCTTGGGTCGTTTCGGCGCCGTCTTGGGAGCTTCGTGGGCCGTCTTGGAGCGGTCTTGGGGGCCTCTTGGGCCGTCTTGGAGCGTCCGGAAGCCGAAAAAGCCAGAACACAAAAAACATCGAAAAAACAAATGAAAATCAACGATTTTGGCCTCTTGGGGCTCTCTTCGGAGGCCTCTTGGAAGGCTCTTGGGGCGTCTTGGAGGCCTCTTGGGCTGTCTTGGGGGCCTTTTGGGCCGTCTTGGGGTCATCTTCGGCGTCTTCGAGCGCTCTTTGGGCGTCTCGGGGGCCTCTTGGGCAGTCTTGGGGGCCTCTTGGGGCACTCTGAGCGCGCTCTGGGGAGCCTGAGAGGCCGCACCCAGAAGGAAAACCATCTCTGAGTAGACTTGGTCGGGCGGCGGTCGGGCGGCGGTCGGGCGGCGACCGGGCGTTGGTCGGGGTACTTTTCGCCGGGGGACCCCCAGGGGCCGCCCCGCGCGCGCGAACTAGAAATACTGTTAATACTGTTAATCAGTTACCGGAGATCTTAGCACGCCCTGGCCCGTTGGGCCGGCGAATTGCGTACACAGTGTTTTTCTCCCACTGGCGGTGGGCACGTGCTCAGGCGGCTAAATAATATCATATTTTGTCGACGATGCGGCCGCTACTCGTGCAAGAAAGCAGTTGATTTAACTAAATTATGCACTGGGCCCCCTCGGGCCTCTGGCACCATCTCACGGCTTCGACGCATGTGTGATGGTCGTGACCCCTGCACTGGTCAACCAGTCGGTGAGGTCACTGCGGTTGACAATGTCAACGTTATATATGCCTTTCCTGCCCCTCACGATGTCTCTAATTTTCAGGCATTGTTTGATCCTGCATGGCTTCTAGATGCCCCGTAGATTTCTCGTGTATATTTCGGTGGTGGGGTGGATGTAACGGTTCTGGTGTGTGTGTTGCCCACCGAGCTGCACGGGCACGCCTAGGGATATCTGGTCTGTCTCGTCTGTCTGATGCTGGCAGGACTACTCGGATCCCCGACACCAGCCGCCAGAAGTGTCGTTCTGCAGTACTCCCCTTCCTGGCCGCCACAGAGACAGTCTCCAGGAAGTAGGGTAGGCTTGGGATAAGTGGGTACAGAGGCGCTGAGAAGCAGGCACCCGTTCCGCCTGCGCCCACTTATCCCGTCTGTGTTTTTGTCATTCCTCCCCTGGCCAGGCTCGCAAAGAGAAGACTCTTGCCTGCCCGCCGCGCGGGGATAGCTGTGCACGCCTCTCTGTCTGTGCTTCCTTCTCTCTACAGTCGGACAGTCGGACAGTCGAAGTGTAGGATAGGCTTGGGATAAGTGGGTACAGAGGCGCTGAGAAGCAGGCACCCGTTCCGCCTGCGCCCACTTATCCCTTCTGTGCTCTTGTCATTCCTCCCCTGGCCAGGCTCGCAAAGAGAGAAGACTCTTGCCCGCCCGCCGCTTGGGGTTTTCTGTGCAGCCTCTCTGTCTATGCTTTCTCCCTACAGTCGGACAGTCGGACATAGGCTAGGCTTAGGATGAGTGGGTACAGAGGCGCTGAGAAGCAGGCACCCGCACCGCCTGCGCCCACTCATCCTTTATGTGCTCCTTTTGCCCCCCCCCCCAGCCCAGGCTCGCGAAGAGAGGAAAGGGCTCTCCGCCGCCTTGCTGGTCTGTTGTATAATGTGCTGCCTGGCAGGTTGAGGCTGGAAGCCCAGGAGCCAGGACGCGGGCTTCAAATTGTTTCACCAGTCTTGCCAGCATCGCGTGTCTCGGGCCCTCGAGTTTTCGTTGTCCCTTTTTGCTCGGGTCGGTCCCTCGCTCGGCTCTGTTCGGGTCCTGGTCCGTCCCTCGCTTCTTTCGGCCCTTCTTCGGGCCCCTCGCTCGTCGTTTCGGCGCCACGGGCAGGAGTGTTCGGCAGACGATCACCCGCGCGCAAATCAAAACAAAAAATCCGCCGTCTCCTCCGCCGTCTCCTCCGCCTCCGCCTCCTCCTCCTCCTCCTCCTCCTCCTCCTCCTCCTCCTCCTCCTCCTCCTCCTCTCCTGCTCCTGCTCCTGCTCCTGCTCTGCTTCTGCTCCTGCTGCTCCTGCTGCTCCTATTGCTCCTGCTGCTCCTGCTGCTCCTGCTGCTCCTGCTGTTCCTGTTGTTCCTGCTGTTCCTGCCGCTCCTGCTGCTCCCGCTTCCTCCTCCTCCTCCTCCTCCTCCTCCTCCTCTCCCTGCTCCTCCTGCTCCTCCCCTGCTCCCGCTTCCTCCTCCTCTTCCTCTCCTCCTCCTCCACCACCCACCACCTTCACATCCCCACCTACACCTCCCCCATCCACCTCCCCCATCTTCCTCCTCCTCCTCCACCTCCTCCTCTCCTCTCCTCTTTCTGCTCTTCCTCCTCCTCCTCCTCCTCATCCTCCTCCTCCTCCTCCTCCCCCTTCCTCCTCCTTCTGCTTCCCCTTCCGAACTGTGGACCCGATTCGGCGAACGAATGCGGCGTTGGGACCCTCCCACCCTGAAGCGCCGGGGAAGGGTAAACCAAAACCAAAAGGCGAAGCGAGCAAAGGTGGAAGGACCGAACGGCGGACGGACACAATGATCATACGAAGAGGAGAGGCGGAGGAGGCGAGGAGGAGAGGAGGAGAAGAGGAGGAGGAGGAGGAGGAGGAGGAGGAGGAGGAGGAGGAGGAGGAGGAGGAGGAGGAAGGAGGAGGAGGAGGAGGTGGGTGGTGGAGGTTCTAGGTGGAGGTGGAGGTGGAGGTGGAGGTGGAGGTGGGTGGAGGTGGAGGTGGAGGTGGAGGAGGAGGAGGAGGAGGAGGAGGAGGAGGAGAGGACGGGAGGAGGACGGGCGGAGGACCGGAGGAGGACTGGAGGAGGACGAGAGGAGGACGGGAGGAGGACGGGAGGAGGAGCAGGAGGACGGGAGGAGGACGGGAGGAGGATGCGAGGGGGACGGGAGGATGACGGCAGGAGGACGTGAGGAGGATGGGAGGAGGACGGGAGGAGGACTGGAGGACGGGAGGAGGACGGGAGGAGGAGGAGGAGGAGGAGGAGGAGGAGGAGGAGGAGGAGGAGGAGGAGGAGGAGGAGGAGGGGGAGGAGGAGGAGGAGGAGGATGAGGAGAGAGGGATGAAGGGATGGAGGGCGGAAGGAAGGGGGAGGGGGAAGGAGGAAGGGGGGAGGATTTCCAGGATTTCCGCCTTCACGTAGTGAAATCAAAACATAGAAACCCCACACTGCCAGGGCATATGCAGTGTGTTGGGAGAGACCTAGTGCACCTCGGCCGCTCCAAACCTCAAACGGCCTAGGAGGGGAGGGGACGACTCAGAGGTGCACGTACACGTCCAACGCCTCCAG